AGAAGAGTGATTTCCAACTAGTAACAATATTTCAATAGTTTAAATTCCTATGAGACAATATTTTTTCTCTCCTTTGATGAGGTCACTGGCTTAGTAAAGCATGGCTGGAGGCAACTTGATTACAGATGATTCACATGGAGCAGACTTCAAATTGTGGGTTAATCAGTATGATTCACTGGTGTGATATGGCTGTCAACAAAAATTTAATGTTATCATAAGTTCATTACGAGAAATAAACTGTCTGGAACAAGTGCAATAATATTCTGCTCTATTCAGAACTGGCAAAGTCACAAGGGGTGTTGTATTCTCTTCTGACTTCCATGTGTTGCAAGTAAAATTAAGGGAAAAGAATGTGTTATTAGCTGAGTGACCAAAGGGGTGAGAGGAACTGAAATTATATCAAACAAAGGGGACAAGGGGTTTTGTAGCTTTCAAGAATGCCCAGTACATCTGTTTGGATGAGGGATGATTGCACTTGAGATTTAGTTTTAACTACACAGAATTAAGTTTATTTTTGCTATCTGCTTAATTTTTTGGATTTTTTTTTCTATAGACATAGGAGTTTCCCTACAGTTGTTTGACTGCCTAATCTTTCCCTGTGTGTTTTAAATGCATTTTAGATTTTAAATTTCTGTATGTGGAGACACTTCCAACTAGATCATAGCCTATTTCATTCAGTTATTTGTCCACTTCTAAAACATTTTACTAAACTATTTTATTTAATGTGGCCTGATAGTATTTATTGATCTGAAAGGTTGTGCTCATCCTCAGTAATCTTGTTTAAAAAACAAATTTGACTGTTAACATCGGTCAGCATTATCAATTTCCTACACTTCCCCAGAAATTAAAGAAGTAGACAGTTCTGGTATACAGTGTGGTTAATTGAAGCACAGGCTTGATGGCATTTTATTCTGTTAATTTTACTTTGTGATCTTTGACTATTCCCTAACCTACCTGAAACTTTTAAAAATGTGAAGAATCATAATAATACCTATTCCATACAGTTACCTGGAGAATTTTAGGATATGCTATATGTAAGGCAGTTTGTATAGTGCATTACACCAGGAATACACTAAACAGATTATTACTATATTATTTTTCCTGGTAAATATTAGAAATAAGCCTTAGAATTTTGGACTTTTGAAAGCAGTCCTATTAGTTTTCTAGGCTTGCCTTTACAAAAGACCATAGACTGGGTGGCTTAACTGACAGAAATTTATTTTCTCACAGCCCTGGAAGCTGGAAGTCCAAGATAAACGGTGTTGTCAGGGTTGGTTTCTTCTGAGGCCTTTTTACTTGGCTTACAGATGGCCACGTTCTCCCTGTGTCTTCATACGGTCTTCTCACTCTATCTCTGTCCTCATTTCCTCAGGAAACCAGTCATATTGGATTAGAGCCAGCCCCTATGACCTCATGTTACCTTAATTACCTCTTTAAGGACCGTACCTCCAAATGAAGTCACATTCTGAGGTACGGTGAGGGGGAGGTTAGAACTTCACCATAAATTTTGGAGGGAAACAGTTGAGCTGCTAAGAGTAATTGTGTCAAATTCACTTTAGAAAACTCTGCAATAGTGAATTTTTCCATCAGGAAATATGTACTATCATGTTGATTGCTGTGGTATCCACAGCATCCTACACATGGAAGGGACCTAAATATCCATCGGTGGTTAGGTGGACAAAGAAAATCTGGTATATGCATACAATGGAAAAGCTTAAGCTAAGATTTCAAGAAATTAACAAAACCCTGTCACAGGAAGTGGCTGCTATAAGACTTCAGGTCAAAACAGAAACAGATGCTTTTGAGACTCCATGAAGGTCTATTAAGTCCTTGACTGGTCCCTCAAAGACAGCTTAAACTTAGGGCTGTGAAGGCAGAGAGTGGTGGCCTGGGGAATGATATCACCTATATTCTTGCTTAACTGTGAAATGGGAGAGTGACAGATTTATAATTCCCACAAGAAGGAAGTCAGAAACAATGGTCTAAAGATTTGACTGGGAAGACACTTTTGACGACAGAGATCACTGTCCTTAAATTTTTAATGAAGTAAATATTTTTCTACTTTTTACCCTCAGGAGGTTTTGAAAACTCTTTTATAGATAATCTTCCCAAGATTATTTAAGTGTCGATACATCATAAATGACACAAGTGCTTTCAATTCTTCTGGAGTCAGGGAATCATGTATAGTTTGTTTTGTTTTGTTTTTGGAGCTGTAATCCTTTTTATTTTCTCTGTTTAAAATCAAGCATAAAACAAATATCAGTCGTTATACACTAACATGTTCAAAGTACATCATTTGTGCAAGAGAAGGACTAAAAACAAAAATGTGTTTCCAGAGATCCGAACAAAGTGTCAGGGCCTCACTTTGCACAGCCTTCCAATGGTGCCACTTCGTAATCGCTGGCTCTAAACAAGGTCGCAGAATTCTTTGCCAGGTATTTTAGAAAATCATGAAGATAATTCAGTAATAACATGAGGTTCTTCTCATCCAGAGTTGTGTAGGCCAACATCGCTCCAGTTCGTAAAAATAATCTCAGTAGATGTGGTGCCCAATACAACTGGTCATGGGTGCATCCAGATGATCTCCGAGGATCTCCGTGTCCTGGGGTCTCTCAAATTTGTAGAGTAGCTGAGTGCCCAAAAGTACTTTGAAGTATTCCTTTATCCCTGCCACAGCCTCATTAACTGCATACTCCTTATTATCTGTGTTTTCCTGAGATTTCTTGTATTGTGCATATAATGGAGTCCACATTCTTCTTGGCAGGAAGACAAAAGACCTGCTGCTGCTGCCTGGTAGTTAAGTTCTAATCCTCAACAAACCACGGTTTTAGTTCTTTAAGAATCTTTACTTTAATTCTCTTCATGAATAACTTCTTCAGTGTCAACAGTAGGATCCACTGGGGCCCTTTACTTGTAAGGAGGCTGAGGTGTCTCCCTGGTCTTCCACCATCTGCATTTCCAGGTGTTTTCTGTTTGTGCTTTTTGGCTTTCACTTCAACATTTTTCTATTGGCAGGACAGACATCTTCTTTCCTGGGGCAGCCCCCTCATCTTCCTTTCTGCATATTGCTCCTGACTGGCTCTCTGAAGTTCACACTGTTTCTGCAGATTAGTACCCACATATTTGAGTATTCTGCTTTCTAGAACCCATTCAATCCCAATTTTTATTCCAACCACTGTAATGTAAAAAGTATTTCACTTGTTTGTCCTTTATGGCAACCTTTACATAAACGTTGTATAGTTTAGTTTGTAAACTGTTTTGCTTGTAACTCTATCATCTGTATTCTTTGCCAGCCACAGTTCTTACTACATTTCCCTTATACCATATACATCAGCCTTACAGAAATGCACTAAAAATCTGAATGGACTCTGCTTTCTCCCAATTGTTTCCATATGCATGTGCTCTTCACTGTAGGAATGCCCTTTACCCATGCACTGGCTGGCTAATTTCTCATCCTGCAAGGTTTGATTCAGTCACAGCGTTCACAAGGGTGCTTCCCCTCATCGTGCACTAATCAGAGTTTGGTTCTTTCCCCATGCAACCATTTCCCATGTTTCCTGCTTTCATCGTGCTTATCCATAATGCTTACCCAATGCTCAAATTCTGGTTTATTTGTCTATTAGTATAATAGACTATGAGCTGTTTCAGAATAAGAACCATGGTTTCTAAATGTTTCCATCTTTTGCAATAATGTAACACCTGGAAGATTATAGCTAATTAATGAAAGCTTGTTAAAAGAATAAAAGAATGAGTAAACATAACATGAACATAACATACACTAATACCCAACTATATACATCAACAGGAAATTGTCCAAAGCCAAGTTCAGAGGAGTATGATCCTAAAACTGCATTGCCTTACTACCCTTCCTTTACTGTCAATGTCATTGGAAATAAATCTGATTCTCAGTGTTGAGTATGAAATGATAAATGATAAAGCAAATCCCTGAACTCTTGCAGTCAGAGGAGATGCTCAATGATACCATACATGAAGGAAAAAACATTTCTATTTGGGCATAGCAAAGGAAACCATTTTCAGCTCAAACATCATCAACAAGAAAGTTAGTTTCATCCAAAGGAGCAAATTATAGTAACATTTTCGCAACAAAAGCATATGGCAGACTGCAAAACACAGAGGCTGACCACAGAATTATGGAGTCAGAGAGCAAAGAGTACTTCAATTGGAAAGAAGCAAGACGGAAAGCTACAGGGCACCCTAGAGGCCAAACACGTGACACTTATTAACACATGAATTAATGGGTGGCCTTTTAAAAAAAAAACACATTTAAAGGACAAAGGCCGATTACTTCAAGTGAACCTGAAAAGTATAATAAAAAATTCAGAATTACCTTCATTGAAGTTGAGCCAGCGATGGAAATTACTAGGCATACCCAAAAGAGAAAGAGATATGCCCAACAATTCAGTCACTATGAACCAATGTCCCAGCAGGCGGGGCTGTTTGGTGGAGTAGTGAAAAGAATTCTAAAATTCATCTTTGGGGGAAAGTATGAGAATAATCAGAGAATTTTTGCAAAAAAATAAGAATAAGATAAACTGCAAAAGTGAAACAATGCATCGTATATTTTAAAATGATAATATTGATACACAAAGAAAGATTGATGGAATAGAGTAAGATCAATATTTATATAATGTTAATATATTAAAGGAGTGGAATCTTACTTAAGTCAGTAATTACTAATCAAGTGATGGCAGAGTAAAGGCATTCAATTCTGTTCTATTCCCTGAAACTCACTGAAATCAGGGCAGCAATAACACCAACAAAAAAAGTGCATTTCAAATTCAGTAAGAATTTTAGCTATGAAGTAATTGCAACATCAGATCTCTAGTTAAGCCTTCTCAAAGTATTATTATTTTACTAAAATTCTTATCTCATCTTTTTACTTTGGTTTGGGCATAATAGTTAATACAGTTGATGCTCCAGAGTATCTGCTTTCAGCAGCTTTCCCTTGATTTGTCATATCTCTCTGTCTCTTGTTCACTGTCTCTTTCTTTCTTTATCTCTGTCTTTCACACCCACACACACCCACACCCACGCATACCCATACCTCCACCTGCCCCACGCACATTCCCCACCCCCCACCCACGCACCCACACCCACGGAGCCATCCCTTCATTCAGCTAATACTCCCTAAGCCATTTGCAGGGCAGCACTCCTCTTTAGGAACCATCATGTCTCTTTACAACATCATCTCGGTTCTAAGTGTACGTTTATATCAGACAGTTGTGTTGTTGTCATTATTGTTTGAGCTGTTGTATGGTTATTCTTTGTTTTGTGATCTTACCTGCTCTCCTGTTTACTTCAGGTTAAGTTCAGGGAGTCAATTTTTGTTTCGTCCTTTCTGCCTTTAAGATGCTGATTTTTTGATATTTTCTAGATGAGTAGAAAATAGGCTTATAAGCTGAACTTCTCTGGATTTTTAGTTTTTCAAGGTAATGTGACTAGGAGGAGGGTCTTCTCTACTAGTCGTATTAGAGGTAGCATTTGAGCTTTCAGGGTGGTCCCTCTGTTGGCATGGAGGGAGGGGGAGGCGGTGAGGGAGAGGCAGGGGAGGTGGAGAGGGAGAAGCCAGGGAGTGGGGGAGGGAGAGATTTATTTTAAGGAATTAGTTTATATGATTTTGGGGAAATGATAGATCCAGAATTTACAGGTCAGACAGGCCAGAAACTCAGGGAAGGGTTGATGCCACTGCTGGAATTTGGAAGCATGGTGGAGACAGAACGCTCTCTTGCTTGGGGTCCTTCAGTCTTTTTCTCTATGGCCTTTAAATGGTTGGATGAGGCCCAGGTACATATGGAGGATAATCAGACTACGTGTTAAGCTCATGTAAAAAATACCTTCACAGCAGCCTCTAGACTGGTATTTGACCAAACGTGTGGGTACCATGGGCTAGGACTAGCCAAGCTGACCCATAAAATTTACCGTTGCAGTGATTCGTCGGTCCCCATTTTTCTGTCCCTTTTCTTTCCCCAAACAATGAGCAAATAGTGGCATACAGAAGCACACTCATCCCCAGCCATTATTTATTTGAAAGAATTTGAAATCTTCCTTGTTCAAATTTGTATGCCGTTGCTTTATTTCTAAGAACCTATTAAAATATCTGAAATTCTATTTTTCTCATACCATTATTTAATGATTTTGAGGCTTATTCTTGTATTAACTTTTTAAAAATGTATTTATTTGAGAGAGAGAGAGAGAGAGAGAGTGCGAGCATGCCCCCGTGAGCTAGGGGGAGGGACAGAGAGAGAGGGAAAAGCAGACTTCCCACTGAGCTTGGGGTGCTATGTAGGGCTCCATCTCAGGAGTCTGAGATCATGACCTGAGCCGAAATCAAGAGTTGGGCCCGATTGAGCCACCCAGGCCCCCCTTGTATTAACTTTTGTATCTACTAATGATAATATTACTTTGTATATTTTCTATTTTAATGTGAAATGTGCATTTTTGTGGATATTTATATATGGAAATTACTTGAATTATTTGACCTCAGATGAAAATTCCTCCTGAAAAATATTTCTCTTTGCTTCTACAGGTTTCCACAATCACTATAGATCCATGAGTTAGAATTTTCAAGTAAATTAGCATCTTGCAGCTCTTTGGGTTACCCAAGTAGTGTTGGGCGATAAACCTATCTCAGGACTGGGGTGTGTTTGCAAAAATCTCAGGAAAAAAAATCAATTTTTGTTTTTCCGCTCTGCTCAGGGCCTAAGTATCCAAAAGGATTTCTCGCATCAAGGCAATGATATAGTTATTGCTAATTTTCTCTCCAGAGTAATTGCCTTTTTCCCTACTATGTCATGCATGGATGAAAGAAATGTGCTTATTTGTTGATTTTATTTTTTGGTTATTATCAGGGAAGGTGTCAGTGTGGTCAACTGGGTATATTAAGCATATAAGTTATTTGAGTATGATTTTCAATTTATCACATTTTTCCTTATTTTTTAAAAATCACTACTCTATTGGAAATGTCTTGTTTCTATTGAAGTATTGTTAAGTTATGAATTCTCTAGTTTTAAATTCGTACTGTCAGGGGATTTTTCTATTTGATTAAGCATTTCAAAAAAACAGATCTTGGGGCACCTGGGTGGCTCAGTCGTTAAGCGTCTGCCTTCGGCTCAGGTCATGGCCCCAGGGTCCTGGGATCGAGCCCCACATCGGGCTCCCTGCTCGGCGGGAAGCCTGCTTCTCCCTCTCCCACTCCCCCTGCTTGTGTTCCTTCTCTCGCTATCTCTCTCTCTGTCAAATAAATAAATCTTTAAAACAAAAACAAAAACATCTTTTGGGTATTTTGAGTACAGTTGACCTTCAAACAATGCAAGGGTTAGGGTTAACCGGAACCCTGCAGAGTTGAAAGTCCACATACAATTTTTGATTTCCCCAAAACTTAACCACTAGTAGCATATTGTTGGAAGCCTTACCAAGAATTTGAAATGAGCTCTTCATAAATAAGCATTGAATGTAATTAAATTAATTTGGGATTGGCACTAAAAAATATTAAAATACATATGCGCCTCATTTTATTCTGAGAACTTTGATATCTCCTATCAAGTGATTCCAGTATCATGACTCCTTATTGGGATTTCTGACTCCATGAAGTTGCAGTTTAGGGAATTGTTTGGAAACATAGAAAATTATGGCCTCTAGGCTTGACCTTATTCATAAACCCTCTCCTCTTGGAATCTAGGACACAGAGCTCACAACTTGGAAGTCACTTGAAAAGAAATCTGTAGTTTTGGGTGGAGCTCACAAGTGCACAGATTTCAGACTAATAATTATCTTGACAAGGAAGATTTGAAGTTTTCCTTGATAACATGGATTCCCACTGGGCAGCACAAGTTGCTTTTCAAGGCTTAACCTGAATCCTTCTTGCTAAAATGCTAACTCACTTCCTCAGTTAACAGAAAAGGCCACTGCCCATTTTGCATAGGCCATATTTCCTCTCCTTGAAGATTAGGTGTCCATTCAACCTTTCTTTCGAGCTATGATGAACCTTGTTTTTCTCTCTTTCTCTCCTGGGACAGTTCCCTGACTTTTCATCTCTTGGTTCGTCCCTGTGTGACCTCTTGCTCGTACCCTTGTATCCCTCTGCTTGCCAGGGTGTCTTGAGTATCCAGAAGCTACCCACGGTTTGCCCTATTCTTTTTATCGCGACGTGGCACTGATAGCCATCACCTCTGCAAGAATCTGTATTCTCCCGCAGGTTTCTACGAGGAAGCAAAAGGCCTTTTTCCTCTGACAAGTGAACAGTATAGATTTTATACATTTTATCAAATCCACAACATGTCTGCAGAAGGTCCCTTAGATAAGCAGTGTATCACCTCAGCTGGGCACCTCACGCTGCGGAAAGCACAGTGGCCTCCGGTGACAGTTCTTTTCTGCTTCCTAAAACTGTCGACCTTCTCCAAATATTTCATTTCTTTTTAGGAAAAATGCAGGGATGTTGTTAAACGTAACTCAATTCTTTTAAAAGCTTAGACTCTGTGGCTTGTCAGCAGAACAAATAGACACAGCTCCGGTGGGCCCTGCATACGAAATCACTAGTAGGGTAATCCTACAGGATGCCAACTTCTGTGCTTCAGTGACAAAGCACTTCAGTAATAGTTTGCTACAGAGGTATATTTTACAATCCAATGAGCTAACAAATTCTAACCCACCGAGCTTAAAACAAGGTGAAATAAAATAAAGCATAAAATGTTCTTGTTCTGCAGAACTGGGCATGGCAATTTCTTGTGGCTTTTTTGGAAAAGTACTACATTTCAGATGGCTCTTCTCAGGGAGTTCGGTAAAGATAATTCGTAAGAAAATATTCATTAATAGCTGTGTGTTATTAAAAAGCTGTCCAGGTTCTTTTTTTTCCCCTCATGGTCTGAGAAGATTTTATTTAAAGCCTTAAGCAGGATAAATTAATGTTCTGTTCATCCCTTCTGCTGTCTTCACTTGTTTATTAATTAGCATAATCTTCTGACATTTAGCAAGATAAAGCCTGCTGAACACTGGGGAGATACATTTAGAAAAGAAATACAAAAGCTGGGGAGAATCCTACTTCATAGCCAGGCTTCTCTTTTTATTAATTTTAATCAAAGGAGGTTTGACCATAAACACATCGTCACTTTATATTTGCATGGAATGCTTCCTCATTAGCCGCCAGAGAGAGACTGAGGATATGGGTGATAAATATGCCTGTCCTAAATTTATTGTGGTATCTTCCAGTAAAAGAGAAAGTGGGAACTTTGAAGATGTTTCAGGACAAAATGTAATTCATGGGTCACCACGGCCAGGGGATAGCAGGCTGTGTGACACAGCCCAGGCTCTCCATCTTCTCAGAGTTCCTGCTAAACCTGCCTATTCCATTCACAAATACGTCAGCCGTTATGATATGTCAGTCACTGGACATAAAAGTGACACACACTTTGCCCTCTGGAAGCATTGTGTGGTAAGGGCATACAGACATTAGGTAAATAAACATGCAGTAAATATTTAACTAAACCTATGAGAATCACTTAAAACAATAAAAGCAAGAGCAACACCAAATTTAATCTGGGAAGGTTTTCCTGAGATAACACTTACTTTGAAAGCCTAACAAGGTGAAAACTGGAGAGAATATTTTTGGTTTTGTTTGTTAGTTTGTCTTTTGGTTGAATATTTGGTGATTATATGATAAACAGTTATTTTCAAATAGTGTTCTATATTAAAAAAGAAATTGAGTTTTTAAATCTTTTTCCATAGAAAGCACTTACTGTGGAAGATAACTTTTAAGGGCAATCATTTCTATGAATTGCATCAAGTGTATTAGTAACTTCAAAGTAATGTTTTGATGGTATAGGTTTATAGATTTCAAAACGCTTCCTTTGACAATATAAAGGTTTCCAATAAGAATGTACGTACAGGGGCGCCCTGGTGGCTCAGTCGGTTGAACATCCGACTCTTGATTTTGGCTCAGCTCATGATCTCAGGGTCCTGGGATTGAGCGCTCAGTGGGGAGTCTACTTGAGATTCT